GGTGCTCTCACAAGATCCTGACCCCTTAGATCTTGTTATAAGACCTCCACCCTATGTGGAGCCATCCTCCTCCTCTGATAAAGCCAGGCCCAGAGCTCAAAACTCTCTCTCCCCCTCCTCTTCCCGAAGAAGGAAAATCTCCAGATTCTATAACCTCCCCCTCCCACACGTGAACAGGGGCCCCTTATAGTCCCAGTGGAGCTCTCACTGAAGAGACTAGTTCAGTTCCTCTTCTGCCTCTTAGGGAAGTAGAACAGGGTCATTATGTCTATATCCCTTTCTCTACCAGTGATCTGTATAATTGAAAACACCAAAATCCCCCTTTTTCAGAAAAACTCCAGGCTTTGATCTCCCTCCTAGAATCTGTTTTTCATACACATGACCCAACCTGGGATGATTGTCAACAACTTCTGCAAGCTCTTTTTACCTCCGAGGAAAGAGAAAGGATCCGAGGGCAAGCCATAAAATCGGTGTTAGGGGGAACAGAGGGCCCCCTCGATGAGCAACAGCGGGCCCGTCTTGAGGCACAACTTCCGTCCACCCATCTCCCGTGGCAAGCTAATTCCTCGGGCGGGAGAGAAGCTCTCCAAAACTACCGTCAGCATCTCCTAGCCGGCCTGAGGGGAGCCGCTCGAAAGCCTACCAGCTTGAGCAAGGTAAGTGAAGTCCTTCAAGGACCTGAGGAATCCCCTTCTGCCTTTCTGGAGGGTCTGTTGGAAACATATTGTATGTATACTCCAATTGACCCAGATGCCTCTGCAAATCGGCAGGCAATTAATTTGGCTTTTGTTACTCAGTTGGCCCCAGATATTAGAAAGAAACTGCAGCAGATGGAAGGATTTGAGGGAGAGAATAGGGAAAAGTTGATGAGTGTGACAATGAAGGTGTTTAACAATAGGGATCATTTTGAGGATAGAATGGCTAAAAAGATAGGAAGGGTGAACATTGCAGCCTTGACAGATGGAGGTTTTATCCAAAAGGAATACAGAGAAAATAAAAAAGAGGATAAAAGTAAAGTATGGCCCTTGTTAGAAAAAGATCAATGTGCATATTGCAAAGAAAAGGGCCATTACAAGAGGGATTGTGAAAAGTTAAAAAGAAAGAGAGAGAAGGAGACTAAGAAAAAAGGAGATGGAGTTCTCTTGGTAGACGAAGATTGACGGGGCCGAGGCTCATGGCCACTTGACCCTAATGAGCCTATGGTGACTTTGGAAATAGGGGGAACAGATGTCCAATTCCTTGTGGATACTGGCGTGGCCCATTCTGTCCTAAAGACCCCCCTTGGAACCCTTTCTTCCCTAAAGTCCTCCATTACCGGGGCCACAGGACAGTCGGCCTCTTACCCTTGGACCACTAAATGAACTGTAAATCTGGGAAAGGGCACTGTTACTCATTCCTTCTTAGTTATCCCAGAGTGCCCATACCCACTGTTGGGAAGAGATCTACTACGGAAATTGGGGGCTGTTATTTCCTTTGAGCCTGAAGGAGGGACTCTCGAACTCAAGCCACCCTCTGCCGTTATGGTAACAGTTCCTCTTGAAGATGAATTTAAGCTGCTAAAGGAGGGCGCAGAACCTCCTGAACAAAAATGGGACTACCTTCAGAAAAAGTTTCCCCTAGTATGGGCTGAAACCA